AACTCAATCGCTTTTTGCCATAAGTGAGTGACGTATGTAAGTAAATCGCCAGTTGACCTATATTTTCGAAATCCGTATTGCTTATCGTTGATAATTTTGTACTTTTCCAAGTACTTGGTTAGGTGATTGTTCACAACTCTTTCCATTACTTTTGATATCACCGGAAGTAGAGCAATTGGTCTATAGTTTAACGGATCTGTCTTTTTTCCTTTCTTTGGAATGGGTTGTACTGCGGCAGACTTCCATGATGATGGATATACTCCTTGCCTGTAAGACAAATTGAATAATTTTGCGAAAGTTGGGGTGAGTTCGTTGGCGCAATTTTTGAGTACTATTGCGGGAATGCCATCCGGACCCATTGCTTTGTTTGTATCCAGCTTTTTAAGGGATTTTCGTATTTCTCTGTGACAAAAGGGTACCTCTGGCATACTATGGGAAACCCTTTCAATGAACGGTGAAGTTTTTCCGTTTGGCACTGTTAGGTTGGAGTTGGAGGAAAACATTTGGGCCAGCATATTGGCTTTTTCCTCTGATGTTGTGGCTAAGTGATTATTTTTATCTGTAAGTGGTGGTATAGATGACTTGGTGAAGTTAGATCCAACAGCTTTTGCAAGAGACCAAAAGGACCTAGAACTACTTGGACAATTCAGCAACCTGTTTTTTATTCTTGGATTGTATGTTTCTTTAGCGGAGTCAATAGTAATTTTGCAACTATTTCTGGCTTCTATAAATTCTGTGTGGTTTTGAGCGGTTTGTTGTCGTTTCCAAAGGTTATATGCTCTGTGTTTTTTCTGTACAGCCGTTTGACACTGGCTGTTGAACCAAGGTTTTGCATTAGCTCTACGTTTAGTTGTATGTGGGATATATGCATCCATTCCAGATAAGATTAGTTGTGTTATTTCATTACAGCAAATAGTGGGATCAGCTGTTTTAAAGCAAACCTCTTGCCATGGAAAATCCAGGTAAAACTGTTTTAGGTCATTCCATTTTGCCGATTTATAGTGCCACATTTTACGAGGAAGTGGTTGTTGGCTTGGTGGGATGAGCATTTCGCACTTTGTTATTATAAGTTTATGATCGGACGAACCAAGTGGAGCATCTACTTGAATTGTGTACGAGTCAGGATTTGTGGTTAGGAACAAGTCTAAAAGCGCTGCAAATTCGCCCCTTTCTGAGATACGGGTAGGTTCATCGACAAGCTGCGTTAGACCACAACTTATGGCAAAAGCTTCTGCTTCTCTGCCTTCGTTATCTGTTTTGTTGTGGTGTTTCAGCCAGGGTATATTGTGGACGTTGAAATCGCCTAAAAAGACAATTTCCGCCTGTGGATAGTTTGACTGTATACTATCACAGCTTTCGGATAATGTCGCGAAAAAGTTTTGGTACTCGGTGTTAGATGGCGGTCGGTAGAGGCAGCAGATAAACTTGGTCGATGACTTTGAGGTGAATTTTAGCCATATGATATCAAGGTTCGCTCGTTCTAGCTTCTCCTTTCGATGACATGAAAGGTCATTTTTAATGTACACACAGATCCCAAAATTATGTCGAAATCGGTGGTGTAGGTCATAGCCGGGATAAAGATAGTTTACAATAGGTGTTGCAGAACTGATTTTAGTTTCAGTGAGAACAAGGATGTCAGGTCTTTGTTCTTCAAGATGTTGGTGAACTGAATTCATATTTGTACTTATTCCTCTTATATTGCTAAAATCAATTCTGAGTTGAGTTTTTGATCTTCTCTTTATATCTTTGCATGAAGGACCCCCAGGATCACCCGACGCCCGGAGATCCGAGTGGTCGGGTATTTTACCTCCGGAATATTGGAAATTTAAAAAAAAAAACAGTATTACTCAAGCAAATAGTGACGATTAAATAAAAAATAGAAATTATCAATTGTGGTTTGAACGTTTGGTCCACATTGGTGTGGTTTAAATTATTATAAAAAAAAAAAAAATAGAGATCGAGGACTTAGGGCGCAAATCGATCAGGTTATAGAATGAGTATTTATGTGGAGCGTGCATAAACAAGCGCGACTTCCATTTCAAAAACATTGTACTGTTTGTGCATGAATTTACTTACTATTGTGTAACATATTTGAGTCATAAGTCATAAGTCATATGTATTTTGTATGTTTCAAGATTCAGTTGCTGAAAGTGGGGCACATTTCAATTTACAGATTTTCAATGTATTCTGTGACAATGAAGGTGAATATCTAGCTACTGAAATGAGAGATTTTTGGTATGCAAAAAGATAAGTCATCATTTAACAATTCCATGAACCCCACAAATTAAATGATGCAGCAGTAGATGTATTATGGGGTTTCACCATCCTCCGTCCTCCGGAGGAGATGACGTCATCTGTCAATCAAGTCACCTTTCAATCATGTCAATCAAATTTCAATGTCAAATGTCAAAGATGTCAATCAAATTTCAAATATCTGTCGATGTCAATGTCATCAGTCATCTGTCAATGTCTAACCTACTCCGAACTACTCCGAACTAGTCTGATCTACTCCAATGCAACCAATCTGCTCTACTCTAACCCTACCTGGCGCCATCTTTTATCAGTTTTTCGGAGTTGGTCTAGTTTATAGAAATCTATATTGGTCTAGCTGCGTAAATTTTGTAAAATAGTGAGGATGAATGAATCAAAATTTCTTAACCTGCAAAATGATTTTAAGTGGTGATGTTAGCTTAGCCTAATCGAATTGAATTTTAACTGTAGTGGTCATGAGCGCAATTTCGGATGAAATGTTTATTTTTTCCTAATGGATTATTCTATAGAATTCCAAAATATTGAACTAGCCTAATCTAACTTGGTAAAGTTTGGTAGAAATAGCGCGAGTAATGAAACATAATTTCAGATAAAATGTTATTTATTAATGGATAAATAAAACATTTTTTTCGATCTTATTCATTAAACCTTGAAATAATTACATTGGCTCTTTCCTATAATTAGGTATAACATTCTAGACAATAAAAAATAAACCACGTTTTCCTATATCATATATTATTGTAGAAAATAAAATTACAAAGAGTTGATAGAAAATAAAGACAATTTTAATCTTCATTAAAGGTATACGAATTACAATATATGCACCAGGTTATTGATAATTTCGATTGTTTAATATTCATACACGTACTACAAAATTTAGTGTATTTAAAATTCTTTTCCTCACAGTACAGTTCATTCATATTTCCTGATTGCCGTTGTTGTTTTTTTTTGTAGTTGTCGCTGGTGTTGGCGACATTTTTTCCACCGCCCTTGTAGTCTTCGTTGTCGGGGTAATGTGGTGTTGGTGGCGTCTCCTGCATCCATTCCTTCAGAGTGGTCCATCCGCCATTCTGATATATTTGACATGTAATCATAATCGCTGAAAAACAATTCGGGCATATTCCCGGAAATATTGATATATTCTGAGGGTGTTTGTTGTTCAACGTCTTCAGTGGATATCTTTTCTCCCCAATTTTTCCGAAGAGGCATTTTGTACAGTTGGCTACTTTTCGAATGACTACTTCAGAGTGCTGCTGACAATCGTTACTCTCCACCTGCATAACTTATTGTTATTCTACAAGATTGACAAATATTTTGAAAAAGTGAGGAAAAGAACGTTAAGACTAGAGGGCAATTCATCATCAGAAATAATAATAATAATAATAATAATAATAATAATAATAATAATAATAATAATAATAATAATAATAATAATAATAATAATAATAATAATAATAATAATAATAATAATAATAATAATAATAATAATAATAATAATAATAATAATAATAATAATAATAATAATAATAATAATAATAATAATAATAATAATAATAATAATAATAATAATAATAATAATAATAATAATAATTATAATAAGAAAACTAGTTCAAAATGTTAAACCTTTCCCTAAAAATGGTTGCACTGATAGGTAATAAGTAGTTTAGGATGATGCAGAAGGTTCACCCTCATCATTGCTCGGTTCTTCTAATGAAAACGAGAAAGTTTGTTTTGCCATTTCGAATAATTTCACCTCCTCTTCTGAAATTGCATTGAGTTTGGTATATTTTAGTGGTAGGTTTCCAAATTTTCTATCCAACATATCTTTTCGTGGTGTATAGGCTAAGGTAACATGTATTTTTGACTCTTTTATAATGATTTTCGGATTCCCATACCTATACGCACAAGAAAGAGAGACCGATTTCAATAAAAAAAAAAAATAAAAAAATGAAAAAAGCATACCTGAAACACTGCTTCATCACAACCATAGCCATTTCAAGAGTGAACAATTTAGGGTCCGTTAACGTGATAATAATCGTACACGGAATTCCGGCCATTTCACAAGTTGGTGTTTTTAGTTTTTCAAGCAAAGATAGTAATGATAATAGTTGAAAGCGTATTTACTTTTGAAATCTAACCACGTATTATTCTCCTCAATTATTTCGTTGTAGGTATAATAAATATCTTGAAAAAAAAAAAAAAAACAAAAAAAAAAGAAAAAAAAAAAGCAAAAAACAAAAAAAGTTTACACTTTTATGTATGCTAGGACTATCTAGTTTAGAAAAGCTAACTAGAGTGAAGTCACTATATTTCAAGCCGTATTTATATTGAAACCAAAGCACAATTTATACATTATGATGTAAGGGAACAAATAATTAAATTATTCATGGACTTATGAAAAAAGGGAGTACCGTGCGATTTGAAAAAGCAAAAGTGCAGCGTTAATTTTATTGTGAATTGCATCAGCATTGAACGAATGTTAATGTTATTGAATAAAAATGTTAATTTTATTGATATAGGTTTTTTTAATCAATAAAATGATAGTTGCAATATAAAAAATGAATTGCATCAGCATTGAAAGAAAAAACATGCTAATTTTATTGATATAGGTTTTTTATCAATAAAATGAAAGTTGTAATATTAAATGTGAATTGTATCGGCATTGAAAAACATTAACCGTATTATATTGCAACAAGGTATAAAAAACCTACGTATTTATTATTTTAACTAGTTGTAAAATAGTAGTGTCAGCATTAAGTTCCAAAAGAAATTATTTGAAGTGTTCGAAACATGTTCACATGTGATTATTGTGCTCGATTGTTCACTAGAAGGGATAATTTAGTACGTCACGGGGATTGCAGAGCATCAGTTAAAATTTGTGATCAATGCGGAGAGATTTTCAAATCAGAGGGAGCCCTTCAACGACATCGCAAAGAAAAACATCCTATGCCGAGGGTTCCGAAGCGTAAAGCTGAAAATCCCTCAGTCTCTATGGATAAACGAGTTGGACTTAATCCACAAGCAGGTAATTTTATTTATTTATTATTATTATTAGACATTTATTAGAAAGGGTTATTGTTATATATCATCATTGTTCTAGCTTCAACATCATTCACCCGCTGGTGTCAAGAATGTGATCTGGAGATTTCAAGAAATCGATGGGTTGGACATCTTCGGAGTCTCCAACACCAGGCCAACACATGTGTGGAGCAGGAGGATGAGGAAGGAGTGGAACTGGTTAAAACCTCTTTCAAGAACCGAATTGCTACCTACCGACTTGCCTCAACACAGGACCCTACCAGCGTGAAGGATTTTTTAAGACATCTTGAAAAAAAATTCATCAAGCTGATAGAAAAGAATGTCCAGAAATTTGGACATATCAAAGTCGGTGTGGAGCTTTTCGGACGTTTCCTCTTGCAAGCCAAGGATGTTGAGGAAGTTAAGTCCTTCAATTCAAAATTCCAACTGGTGGGCATAGGTCTTGATTTGAAAAAGTTATTTAAGCAGTTTTCAGATATCACGGATAAGAAGTGTTCTGAATTTCAAGAGAAAGAAAGTGGTGAGTAATTTTTTCAGTTATTTTTATTTATTTATTTTAAATGGTAATTTATATTTCATAGGCTGGGCACTGCAACAACTCCTCTATTTAAATATAGCTATAAATAAAGTTCATCCCTTAAAAGCTTCTTCGTATTTGCCCCTGCCGAAAGTGATCGAAGCTAAAAAAGCTGTCCTAAACATCCAGAACTCGGATCAGAAATGTTTTTTGTGGTCAGTATTGGCTCACCTGTATCCAGTTGTTACAACTCAAAATGCGAACAGACTCTCGAACTATTTGCCTTTTGAGAACCAGCTCGACTTTACAGGTCTGGAATTTCCGATTAAACTTAAAGACGTCGGTAAGTTTGAGCAGCTCAATAATATTTCAATCAACGTTTACGGACTCGATGAAGTTTATGAGAATGGTAGAAATATTATTGAAGTTGTTGGTCCCTTATACTTTACTCTGTCTCGAAAAGCAAGACATGTAAATTTGCTGTTAATCAGTGATGACTTTGGTAATACCCATTACTATTTGATAAGAAACATGTCTCGCTTGATTTCAAGTCAACTATCGAAACATAAAGAGGCTAAGCACTTGTGTGATGGATGCTTGTTGTACTTTCCAACTGAGCAAAAATTAAAAGCTCATCAAGAACACGACTGCGGTCACGTTTCCGTTAAGCTTCCGACAATAGACTCGAAGAAAAATAAATACGGTGAAGAGGCCCCCGAGAATATTTTGAAATTCATAAACTTCGAAAAGAAATTAAAGGTACCTTTTGTATGCTATGCCGATTTCGAGACTATAATTGAGCCGATTCCTGAAGAACATAAGCAATTAGATCCCGAACAATCCTATACTGTTAAAAAACATAAAGCTGTCCCTTATTCTTTCGCCTACTACATTAAATGCAATTTTGATGATTCTTATTCGATTTTCAAGACTTTCAGGGGACCTGATGCACAAAAAGTTTTCGTAGAATGGTTAGAGACTGATTGTAAATCAATCTATAACCGATTTATGAAAGACATAGTGCCCATGCATCCTCTAAGTCGAGAACAAGAAAATGAGTTTCGCAATGCGAAAAATTGTCATATTTGCAAGAAACCGTTTAAAGATGGAGAGGAAAGAGTAAGGGATCACTGTCATATAACGGGTAAATACCGCGCTGCAGCCCACTCCATTTGTAACCTAAATTTTAAACTTCCGAACTTCATTCCGATCTTCTTTCACTGCATGTCCAATTTCGATTCCCATCTGTTTATCAAGGAGTTGGCTCAAGGAAACGAGAGATTGGATGTTATCCCTCAAAATAAAGAAAGGTACATTTCATTCACCAAACATATTTTGGTGGATAAGATCCGACTTGACGAAAATGGAAAATATAAACAGGTATTTTTAAAATTGCGCTTCCTCGATAGTTTCCGATTCATGGCATCTAGTCTAGATAAATTATCACAAAATTTAAAGCCGGAACAATGTCGAGAAGTTAGAAAAAATTTTCCCGCGGAAGATGAATTTCAAATGATTCGACAAAAGGGCGTTTTCCCGTATTCCTACGTGGATTCATTTTCGAAACTAGATGACACCAAGCTTCTATCCATTGACGGTTTCTACAATGATTTAAGAAAAGAAGCCATCAATCGGAAAGATTACGAGCGTGCACAAAAAGTATGGAACTTGTTCAAATGTAAAACTTTAGGCCAATATTCAGATATTTATTTAAAATCAGACGTGCTTATTCTGGCTGATGTTTTTGAAAATTTCAGAGACGTGTGTTTATCAACCTATGGTCTGGATCCTTGTCAGTATTATACAGCTCCAGGGCTATCATTTGATGCAGCTCTCAAAACGACAGCCATAGAGTTGGAACTACTGACGGATATAGACATGATACACTTTTTGAAACGTGGCATTCGCGGAGGGGTAAGTCAGTGTAGCGTAAGGAAAGCTGTCGCGAACAATAAATTTATTCCTCATTATGATGCTTCCAAACCTGATTCCTACATTATGTACTTGGATGCAACCAACTTGTATGGTGCAGCCATGTTACAATATTTACCAACGGGTAATTTTAAGTGGCTTGACGCGGAAGAAATTCAAAATTTGGACTATTTAAAATTAGAAAAAAATTCAAACACTGGTTACATTTTAGAAGTTGATTTAACGTATCCGGAAGACTTACATTATACGCATAACGAGCTACCCTTTTGCCCAAAGTCCGTTGCTCCAGAAGGTTCTAGAATCAAAAAACTTATTCCGAATTTTAACCGTAAAGACAAATATGTTATTCATATTCAAAATTTGCAGCAAGCGATCAGTCACGGTTTGAAAGTAGAAAAAATTCATCGCGTTCTCACTTTCAAACAATCACCCTGGGTCAAAACTTATATTGACCTGAATACATCAAAAAGAAATGCTGCGTATAATAAGTTTGAGAAAGACTTTTTCAAATTAATGAATAATGCGGTGTTTGGGAAAACTATGGAAAACGTGGAGAAAAGGGTAGACATCAAGCTAATCACTCATTGGGAAAATATTGGTAGGAAACGGGGAGCGGAATCGTGGATTTCAAAGCCTCACTTTAAAGACGTCACCATTTTCGGTGAGAATTTAGTGGCTATTCATATGGCTAAACAGAAAATTAAATATGATAAGCCTATTTACGTGGGATTCGCCATCTTGGATATATCCAAGACAATCATGTATGATTTTTTGTATAGCTATATCAAGCCCAAATACGGGAATAAAGCGACCTTACTCTACACAGACACTGACTCCCTTATTTTAAAAGTAGAGACACAAAATTTTTATGATGATATGAGGGAAAATTTGAATAAATTCGATACTTCCAATTATTCACAGAACAACCCACACAATCTTCCTGTAAGCCAGTCTATTTTGGGTAAAATGAAGGACGAGTATGCAGGTAAGATTTTGTGGGAGTTCTATGGCACCGCGGCGAAGGCGTATTGTGTTAATGTGGAAGGTGAACTCACTAAAAAAGCCAAAGGCGTACCTGATTACGTCACCAAGAAAGAATTAACCCTTGATGATTATAAGACTGCAGTTGACGTAGAAGGTACGCTTATTCTTCGTCAAATGAACACTTTCCGTTCACATAAACATGATATGTACATCGAATTTAAAAATAAGGTAGCTTTATCATACGCGGACGATAAACGCTACGTTATACCTGGTACAGAGTAAACGCTCGCTTGGGGACATAGAGATATAGAATTGTATAAGGAATCATCGGAAATTCCAGAGAGTCAAGACTGATAGCTTTTAAGCACGAAGCTTTCAAGGGTTTATAGTTTTTAAGGTATTTAGGTTAGGATTTTTTTTCACCTATTAGTTTTAGTATTATTTATTCATTTTAGACTTATTTATTCTTATAATGTTATTTATTTGTAAGTTTATTTTTATTTTAATAAAACACTTGTTTTTTTGTTTTTACTTGTTTTATTCCATTTTCATTAATATATCATACAGGTTAAATCTGTGGGCTAAAACTAATTCAAGATGATTTTCGTTCCATGCCATCACTTTATTGGTCCGCATATCAGTCACAGTCAGTCCTTTGCTTTCTTCTTCATGTCAATAGCTAACGTGAATGTATTCCCCAATATAAAAATTAGTATCACACCATCCATCGTTGATCGTATCCAGAAAATTCAGAAAGTCTTCAAATTCATCATTGGTGAGTTTTATTGGGTGATCATTCTTGTGATGTACAATAACCTCCTTTTTCTCTCGATTATATTTAACTCGAAAAATGTTCTCAATGTTATATTCTCGATAAACCGGTTTCGGACGGATGCTCCGACTGCAAGTTGATGGTCCATTCACAAATCTCGAAGCGGATGTGAAAACATCATCCCATTTCGAATCCATTTGGAGATTTTGAAAATTCTTTATCAGCGATTGTTTTTGCTCGTAAAACTCCAAATCTTTTCTCAGTTTAGAGAGATTTTTCAGATAATTTTGAATCCCTTCAGCTAGTGTACTGCTCATGTGAGCTAGAAAAAGACTGACCAGGTGCAACTTACCATTCTCTATTTATAGAAAAACTCAACTCTATTTACTAAAAATGTGCATCAGGATATTTTTAAGTGCCACTGACAGCAAGGGTCCACCCAAACACCAAACAAAAAACAAAGACAAAACCCTATAACACAGCAAGGCTCTCCTTTCTCCACCCTATCAATTCAAAGGATGATAGGATGCCACTTTTACTGAAACTGATGATCTGTGTTCTCTTAAACTTGATATTTTTCAACTCATCTTGTGGTTTAGACAAAAGCATCCTTCTGTACAAAGATTTAGGCTTAGCAATGGAAAGAGTAGGCATTTCTTACTCTCACTATGGCCATATTGAAATCCCTATCACTCTCTCAATACCTAAACAGATAAAGTTAGACATTATTCATGATGATGAACATAAGTATCATTGTAATTATACCAGCTTACTAAATGAGAAACTCAACATCATCAATTCATACTTGGACTTTATCATACCATCAAAGGATCCCAATGAACTATATGACTTCGATAATCATCCCTCTGGTGTATTATCCAGAGATAAGAGATTTGTACCGTTCATGGCCCTAGGGGCTGGAGTTGCATCACTGGGATTAGGTACCTGGAACAGATATGATATCTCAAAGATTAAAGGGAAAGTTGATAATATCTATAATCATATGGATCTTATACAAGAGAAATTAAGAACTCTTATGAAATATGACAACACACAAACAGACTCAATTAATATTATTCACCATCTTGTAAGCGACAATACCAGAACCCTAAATCAAGTTATTGAAGAGGTAAATTGCGTTAATGGGCCAATAAGCAGAATTATTCAAGCTAGCAGTGTATGGGCCAATTCCATGTCCAGTGAATTCCTAAGAGCACTGGACTTTAGCTTGATTTTTTTTTTTTTTTTTTTTTTTTTTTTTTACGGATATGCGCACTCGCAAGGAAATGTCCTATCACGCTCGAGAAGCGGCAAGTGCGCGGAAATGTCGGTGTATGTTGGTCTTGAAACGGTTCAGGTTGTAACCTGCAGGGAAAACCGTCGCAGGGAGTTTATTCCACAGCGATGCTGTTCTCCAGAGATATGAATTCTGATATAATGAGGTTCTTGGTGCCTCTAGTTTGACAGTAAATTCATGGTTACCGTCTGTTTGACGGGTTCGCCTGGTAGGTGCTACTCTCGGTGGAATCATACGTGCCAACTCTTCAGAGCATTTTCCGTGATAGTACCTGTAGAAGAGAGATAAATCGCCCACAGATCTGCGATGTTCGAGACCATCCAAGTTACGAGTAAGTGCGGGGTCATTGATCAGCTTGATAGCTCGTTTTTGCACGGTATTCAAAAGCATTAAGGTATGTTTGGGTGCTGCACTCCATATATGTGAGCAGTACTCCATAGTTGGTCGAATCTGGGCTTTGTAGAGTGTCAGCAATTGGCTTGGTGTGTACAGATGTCTTGTACGAAATAGCACCCCCAGCTTTTGGGAGGCCCTTTTAGCAATATCTGCCACGTGACTGTGCCAAGACATGTTGGTCTCTGCAGTAACCCCCAAGATGTTCAACTGACTCTGTAATGTGACAGCACTTCCAGATAGCATGATGTTTGGCTCACCGGTGCTGGTCTTTTTTGAAAACAGAGCTGCTTGGGTTTTCTGCGCGTTGAACTGTACAAGGTTTTTGTTACCCCAGTCCTCTATTATCTCCAGGTCGTTATTTATCTGCGATATTTGAGTTAGTCTAAGATGATGGAATTCACGTGCGGAAAGACCTGTGGGTGGTATGAGTGAGGAGACTACATTGCCATCGTCTGCAAAGCAATAAAGTGGATTTACTGTTTTATCTATGAGGTCATTTATGTAAATCAGGAAAAGAGTTGGCGAAAGGATTGCTCCCTGTGGCACACCAGCATTTATTTGGTAAGAGTTGGAGTTCTGGCCATCCAGTGCAACATAAATGGATCTGTCCTTTAGGTAACTTTCAAACCAAGTGCAAAGTTTCGGCGATAATCCCATTGCTTTGAGCTTGTTGAGCAGATTTTCATGCCAAACTTTGTCGAATGCTTTAGATATATCTAAGGCAATTGTTCTTGTTTCACCCCGCAACTCAATCGCTTTTTGCCATAAGTGAGTGACGTATGTAAGTAAATCGCCAGTTGACCTATATTTTCGAAATCCGTATTGCTTATCGTTGATAATTTTGTACTTTTCCAAGTACTTGGTTAGGTGATTGTTCACAACTCTTTCCATTACTTTTGATATCACCGGACGTAGAGCAATTGGTCTATAGTTTAACGGATCTGTCTTTTTTCCTTTCTTTGGAATGGGTTGTACTGCGGCAGACTTCCATGATGATGGATATACTCCTTGCCTGTAAGACAAATTGAATAATTTAGCGAAAGTTGGGGTGAGTTCGTTGGCGCAATTTTTGAGTACTATTGCGGGAATGCCATCCGGACCCATTGCTTTGTTTGTATCCAGCTTTTTTAGGGATTTTCGTATTTCTCTGTGACAAAAGTGTACCTCTGGCATACTATGGGAAACCCTTTCAATGAACGGTAGAGTTTTTCCGTTTGGCACTGTTAGGTTGGAGTTGGAGGAAAACATTTGGGCAAGCATATTGGCTTTTTCCTCTGATGTTGTGGCTAAGTGATTATTTTTATCTGTAAGTGGTGGTATGGATGACTTGGTGAAGTTAGATCCAACAGCTTTTGCAAGAGACCAAAAAGACCTAGAACTACTTGGACAATTCAGCAACCTGTTTTTTATTCTTTGATTGTATGTTTCTTTAGCGGAGTCAATAGTAATTTTGCAACTATTTCTGGCTTCTATAAATTCTGTGTGGTTTTGAGCGGTTTGTTGTCGTTTCCAAAGGTTATATGCTCTGTGTTTTTTCTGTACAGCCGTTTGACACTGGCTGTTGAACCAAGGTTTTGCATTAGCTCTACGTTTAGTTGTATGTGGGATATATGCGTCCATTCCAGATAAGATTACTTGTGTTATTTCATTACAGCAAATAGTGGGATCAGCTGTTTTAAAGCAAACCTCTTGCCATGGAAAATCCAGGTAATACTGTTTTAGGTCATTCCATTTTGCCGATTTATAGTGCCACATTTTACGAGGAAGTGGTTGTAGGCTTGGTGGGATGAGCATTTGGCACTTTGTTATTATAAGTTTATGATCGGACGAACCAAGTGGAGCATCTACTTGAATTGTGTACGAGTCAGGATTGGTGGTAAGGAACAAGTCTAAAAGCGCTGCAAATTCGCCCCTTTCTGAGATACGGGTAGGTTCATCGACAAGCTGCGTTAGACCACAACTTATGGCAAAAGCTTCTGCTTCTCTGCCTTCGTTATCTGTTTTGTTGTGGTGTTTCAGCCAGGGTATATTATGGACGTTGAAATCGCCTAAAAAGACAATTTCCGCCTGTGGATAGTTTGACTGTATACTATCACAGCTTTCGGATAATGTCGCGAAAAAGTTTTGGTAATCGGTGTTACTTGGCGGTCGGTAGAGGCAGCAGATAAACTTGGTCGATGACTTTGAGGTGAATTTTAGCCATATGATATCAAGGTTCGCTGGTTCTAGCTTCTCCTCTCGATGACATGAAAGGTCATTTTTAATGTACACACAGATCCCAAAATTATGTCGAAATCGGTGGTGTAGGTCATAGCCGGGATAAAAATAGTTCACAATAGGTGTTGCAGAACTGATTTTAGTTTCAGTGAGAACAAGGATGTCAGGTCTTTGTTCTTCAAGATGTTGGTGAACTGAATTCATATTTGTACTTATTCCTCTTATATTGCTAAAATCAATTCTGAGTTGAGTTTTTGATCTTTTTATATCTTTGCATGAAGGACCCCCAGGATCACCCGACGCCCGGAGATCCGAGTGGTCGGGTATTTTACCTCCGGAATATTTTGATCCTGGAGGCGCCATCATGCTATCCGTAACTCATTGTTGGAACCGGACTGCCAGCGCCGTAGCGGAACGTGGTGATGCCACTTAGCGCTACTCAATTCTGGCATGGTGGTATCTCACCGGTCGACGCCCAATGAGTAAAAAGCGTCTACCACCTAGGAAAGATTACCCCAGATCTCCTTCCCTTTAACACATTCGCTGCTGACTGGTTTGAGGCTACCGAACCCGAGAAACTGAAATAAATATTTGGGAAATGATACACAGTTTGGATACCAGGAAAATGGAGAATGCATATATATAATAGAAAACAAAAAAAAAACGCCCTTGGGGCAGGGACGTCTTAAGACGCCGTCAGCCTCCCGCTAGAAAAAAAGATGCCAGGGGCGGGTGGGCGTCTAAAGACGCCTTGCAAAACAAAACAAAATACAACACATTATGCAATATGAAATTCATCAAAATGATAGAGCTACATATTCCTATGAAAATCAGCGAAACACGGC